CTGCTGTCTTGGTCACTTTTCTCTTGTTGCTGAGACAAAATACCTGACACCCAGACTTAAGGCAGGAAAGGTTTATTTAGGTCACAGTCTGTGGAGGTTTCAGTCCGTGCTTGGCTGGCTCCAAGGCAGGGTGGCACATGGCAGATGGCAATAGTTCATGGTGGTGGAAGATGGCAAAAGCAACAAGAGCAAGCAGCCTCTTTCCCTCCCTTACCCTGTCTGCAAACTACCTGCCCCAGGGTGGGTGTAGCACTCACACCTATAACCCCAGCACTGAACCATGAATCAATCATAAACTCTAGAATCCCGCCCCATGACTGCATGAGGCTTTGAGGGGACATTCAGACACACACCATAACAGCTGTCTAAAGTACATTTTCAGGGCAGCAGGAAAGGATGGCGTGTTGGTTGCCTGTGGCCCTCACAGTGGTGGCTTGTCTCCGTGGGGGCCCATGGGTTGGGTCACCATAGAATATTCAGCTCCAGTGTTCATAGTACATAGGCTGGCCCCCCACATTCACTGGGACCATAGGCTCCTGGGGGCCTAACAAAGTAGAGCCCGGGCTGTCCTAGGCCTCCTCGTATCCTCCCACGGCAGCCAGTCCTGTGAAATCATCTTTTGGTGTCTTTAGTGGCTTCTGAACTAGCCGGTATCAGCGCAGGACTACGTGTCCTCCGTTCTCTCGTTTGGCGGCAGGGGGAGATTTTTCTACCCGGTGGGCATTCATTCTTCCACTGTCCATACCTGGGACAGTAGGCACCTTGGTCCCGGTCCAGCTTGGTTCCCGGGCGTGGGGGCTTCTGCACCCGTAGGCCTTGTGCTCTGCCCCGGGTGCATCCTTCCGGGACTGTCTCAGTCTTTCTGCCAGGGTGGGTGCCAACAAGTCCCATCAAGCCTCCCGGTCATGGTTTACAAACACCTTGGCTGTGACTCTAACAATCGGTTGGCATCATTCCAGCGAAACCCTCCAGTTTCTGTAACTTCCGCCTGATTTCTCCTTGCGCCTGGCTGACGAACACCACATTCACCATCCGTTGATGCTTAGCTGGTACAAGGCGGTGTACAGATGAAACACATCCCAGCCTTTTATAGAATTGGTTCGGGCTTTCTTCTGGCCCCTGGAGTACCTCCAAAGTTTTGCACACGTTCATGGCCCTTTTTCCTCCTTCCTTTATCCCCTTCACTTTTTTTTTTGAGACAGGGTCTCACTATGTAGTGAAGGCTGGCCTTGAACTCACTATGTAGCCCAGGCTAGTCTTGGAACTCACAGCAATCCTCCTGCCTCAGCCTCCCAAGTGCTGGGATAACAGGTGTGCACCACCACGCCCAGCCCTTAATCCCCTTTAGGAAGGCCTCCTGGTGCCGTGTGACTGAGTGAACCCCCCTTCTGCATTTGGGTCCCCCTGGGAATTCTGTCCTGGAACTGACTGTGGGAGTAAGCCTGGGGACCCAGGCTTCTGGCTGGGGCACTTTCTTCAGGCCGTTGAGGGTGGCTTGAGTAACCTGGTGGCACTCGGCGCTGAGGAGCTGCTGGCAGTCGGTCCCTGTGGGTGATGGGTCTGCACAACGGACTGCACCAAGTCAGTCATGGCCTGAGTTTCTCAGTGGATGAAGGTGTGCAGTTCTTTCAGTTAAAGAGCTCGGTGGGGTTGATGTCCTCACACTTGTTTCCCTCCTTGGATCTGCCCCGTGGGTCATAGTGAAGGGGTCCTCGAGTCTTTCAAGCTGGCATCTGCATGGCACCTCGACAGGGCCTGAGGGTGGGCTGCTGGAGGGGTTTTCTTGATGGGCACCCACAGGCGTGGAGGGTCAGGATGAGCAGCTTGCGAGGCCCCGGGTGACGCTGGGCGCGAGGCAGCGCCGGGGGGCTGGCTGGCTGTGGTAGAGACTGCGGAGGGGCCACGGGGTGGTGGCCTGGGTGGGTACTGCGGGCATATCGAGGTGGGACTCTTCTCACTCCCCATGCAGAATTGGTTTGTTTGACTTTGGCCCACGCTGGGAGGCGGCCGTTGCCCCAGCCATCGTCACTCCGCCCTTCTCCTCCGCGCAAGCTTCCGGCCAAGGGGGCCGAGACAGGACCAAGAGTCGCCAGCAGCCAGTGTAAGGAAACTGGTCAGGATGGCTGGGGTCCCCTGCCACACCGGGCTGAACACTTGGCTAATTATCTCCTGATCCAGCGAGCCCTTGGGGCCGTCCCACCCCGGACCATGGCAGATCAACTGCACAGGAAGTCCGGAGCTTTCCGGGCGGCATCTTAACACCACAGTCCCCTAAATACCCCTTCTTAAAAATCCTTTAACAAACATTCTAGTTGTTTTTTTTCCCTCCGGTACCGGGAACCGAACTCATGACCTCGCGCTTGCCAGGCGGGCGCTGTGCCGCTGAGCTAAATCCCCAGCCCCTGACAGACACTCTAGGGGAGCCGGTGTTCTCTGCTTTCCACCCGCTTTCTCCCCCAGTAGACGACTTTCACACACAAGAGAGCCGGGCGGCAGGGGGCGTGTTTAACTGGAAGGCTGCGTACTCGCTTCATCTCCTCAGGGAGCTATTTCGGGGGGCACCTCTGAGCACGGGTGGAGCTCCCGGAGGCCTAGCGTCGCCCTATGAGGATTGCCGTGGAACCTTGGATCAGGACTCAACACTTGCTCTGGCCCTGTCTCCGGGCCAGAACTTTCCCACCGTCCGTCTCATCACTCGTACACCCACAGGGCCTCCAGCCCGCAGCCCAGTGCCCTATGGAACTGCTCAGGCAACGCCGGTACTCACAGCACTCACACCAGTGCTCACACTGGTACACACACAGTGCTCACCCCAGTGCTCACACCAGTACTCAGCACTCACACCGGTGCTTACACTGGTGCTCACAGCACTCACACCGGTGCTCACACTGGTACTCACACCAGTGTTCACACCGGTACTCACAGCACTCACACCGGAGCTCCAGTCCACTGCCCCGCTCCAGAGAGTTGTACTTTCAGTTTCAGTGAGGCCCAGGCCACTGGGAGGCAATCAGTCCCCTCTTCCGCCTCTTTAAAGGTGGGACTACCAAATCGACCCTGAGTCTTAGCAGATCTGGTGGGTGGTGCTCCCTGAACTGGGTCCTGGGCCTCTGGGTTCCATTGCACATCCGGAGCTCTCACACCAGCACCTCAGGAGGAGCCTACCTCCCCTACAGGTCAAACGGTCTGGCGGTGCCAGGCAAGGCTGTGTCTGCCAGTGCTCTGAGGTTCAGACTCCATCCACACAGGAGGTGAACATACACCGTCTCCAAATCCTGCATAAGCCCCCAGAAGCGCTGTGGGGTTTTCACGTAGAGAGACAGGCCACAGAGGCCTTTTCCCCAGGAAGCAGCTTTAGTCATGCTGGCACTGACTCAGCAGATTCCTATTCAAAGGCTGAGTGCTGAACATGGCGTAATTACACCCTTTTATACAGTTTTTGTGTTTCTGTCTCTCTCATATGGGCATACACTAACAGTTTACAGTCTGCTAGGGTATGATTATGTTACAGAGTTACGTCAGAACTACACGTGTGGGGCTGGGGATATAGCTCAGTGGCACAAGCACCTGCCTGGCAAGCACAAGGTCTTGAGTTCGATTCCCAGTACCAAAAAAACAAAAACAAAAAAACCAAAAAAATGCACATGTGCACACAAAAGCTGATATTGCTACACTGCCAAAAAGGTTCCTGGCCTGACATGTTGGGAAGGGTCTTACCACATGATCACCATTTTATTTCTAAAATAATGCTGGAAGCTGGGTGAAGTGGTGCATGCCTGTAATCCCGGCACTCAGGAGGCTGAGGCCGGAGGATTGTTCCAACTTCAAGGCCAGCCTGGGCTACAAAGTAAGCTCAACTCCAGCCTGAACTGTATAGCAAGACCCTGTCTCAAAAAGAAAAAAAAATGCTGGAATTTGCATAGTACTCTCTTATGCTTACATGAAAGGAAAAGCTAATAACTTGCTTTAGTAGGGCTATGGGTGCAGATGGGAATCAGTTATGGTGTCCTCTCCCAGTAGAGTTGTGTGACAGTTTCCTTTTTAAATTTTTTGTCTGTTTGTTTGAGACAGGGTCTCACTATGTAGTTCAGGCTACTATGTAGGTCAGGCTAACCTTGAACTTTCAGCAGTCCTCTTGCCTCAGCCTCCTGAGTGCTGGGATTACAGGTGAACACCACCACACCCAGCTAAAATCTTGCATTAGTGAGGGACATTTGTCAGAGGTGCTGAGCCAGTATCGATACACTCTTTATTTATTGATGTCCATAGTTCACACTGGAGTCTCTCTAGGAATTGAACATCTGGTGGGCTTTGACAAATCTATAAGAAATACATCCATTATTGTAGTATCAGAATTGTTTCATTGCCCTCCAAATGCTCTGTTGCCTGCCTCCCTTCTCTGTGTGAACAAATAGATGTTTTCCATGTGGGTTGCGGGTTGCTAGGGTGGGCTCTCTGTGTGTCTCCCCCATCCTAGGATTCTCGGCATAGACCAAATAATTTAGTTCAGTTTCAGAGGAGCCACCTGAGGCGTCAGTTTCAGACAACTTTGTTGTTTTTGTTTGTTGTTTTTGAGACGGTCTCGCTATGTAGTGATAGCACACAAGCCGACAGAGTGCGTGAGGCGGCTGTGTCCTCCGTGGGTCCGCCATGCACTTAGCATCCCAGCATCTGTCAGGGCACGGCCAGCGAAGTTGCTGACTTACTGAATAAGGAGGAGGGGTTTCTCCTTGCAAATGTCATGCTCAGGATCTAGATATTGCAGTCAGAAGTGCAAGTATTTCACCTTGTGTGGGTCCTCCCTGCTGGCTTTGCAGTGGGCCCAGGGTCTGCCCGTCCTGCTAATCTTAAGCCAAGGATGGAGACCCACAGACAGCTCACAGCCTCCGACCTCTGGATGTTCTTTCTGAACTTCCCTGGGGACACCGTCTTCTCCCACCCTCCTGTGAATGTGAGTGAGGGGATGGTCCCATCCGAACAGCACCACTGTGTTGTCTTAGGAATTAGTGACCTTCAAGGACATGGCGGTGGACTTCAGCCTCAAGGAGTGGGAGCTGTTGGACCTGGCTCAGAGGTTCCTTGCAGAGGTGACACTGGCGACCTGCAGGAGCCTGCTGTCTCTGGGAATGACCCGCACCAGGCTCCAGTCCTCGTCCACGCACGTTGGGCCAGCGACTGCTGAGAGAGGAGACCACCTCCGGGGGTGCAACTGGACAGCTATGGGTTAACTGTACAGCTAAGCTGCTTTGGGAAACTGATGTTGTGCGCTCCGGGAGGGGGCTGTGAGGTAAATGTCAGTGGACCAGGGCAGCCTTGGAAAGGCTTCCCGGAAGTTTCTGCCTCCTTAATCACTGCTTTTGCTCCTGCTTTGCTTTGTGCTGGTTTCTGATGGAAAATTGCCCCGTAGGGTGGAAACGATATAAACGTGGAAGCGGCTTGTTCTGGGCTCGGGTGGACACTCACCACCCACCGGAGGACGTCGGCAGTGAATCTCACTTTCTCCTACTCCATGTCTGAGCGGCTCTGTCTGGGTCCCCTGTGGTTTCCTGCAACGCCGGCAGGTTCCAGGCTGTCTGGGGATTGGTAAGTGACGAAAAAATATAGGGAACTTTTTTGGTCTTGTTTTGTTTTGGTGGGTTTTTTTGTTTGTTGTGTTTTGGGGTTTTTTTTGTCTTTTTGAGACAGGGTCTCGCTATGCAGTTCAGGCTGGGCTTGAGCTCACTTTGTAGCCCAGGCTGGTCTCAAGCTTGCAGTGATCCTCCTGCCTCAGCCTCCTGAGTGCTGGGATTAGAGGCATGTACCACCATACTTGGCTCTTTTTATAAAAAAAAATTATGGTAAAATGCACATAACAAAAAATTTGCCTTTTTAACCACTGTTAAGTATATAGTTAGCAGCACTAGGCTGTACAGCCATCACCACCATCCCCCTCCAGAACTTTCCATCTCCCCAACCTGAGCACTAACTCCCGTTCCCTGCCCAGCCGTGGCACCACCGTCCTACTGTTTGTCTCTGGATCTGACTCTGGAGATCTCCTAGGACTGGATTCACAGTGTGTGTCCGACCTTCTGTGCCTGGTGTACTTCATGTGAGCATGATGCTCTGCAGGATCACCCATGCTATAGCGGGATTCCAAGCAAAATCCCGTTCCTTGCTAACACTGCCCTGACCTATCTTCCCAGCAGGACCGTACTCTCCACAGACAGCGCCAGGACACTGTCCCCCACGAGAAGGCCCCTTTTGAAGCTAGATGTGGTGGTGCAGGCCTGTAATCCCAGCACTCGGGAGGGTGAGGCAGTCTCGCGAGGCTGGGACTGTAGGCCTGGGCCACCATGCCCTGCTCATACTTTGCCTCTTTCTGCTGCAGTTCTGAAGTTCTCTTTCCTGCACATCTTTAGGAGGTATGACCAAAGATACAGTGAATGCTGCTACTGAGTGGCATCCGACAGAAAGGCAGCTCACAAAACAAGCCGGTGTCCTCATCTGCCTTATTCGCCAGATCTGGTGCCGTGTGACTTCTGACTCTTCCCCAAAGTCAACGTGACCGTGAGCAGTAATGGGTGGGAAGCCATTTGCAACGTCGAGGCGGCCACAACAGCACAACTAAAGACACTCACGAAAGAGGACTTCCAGAGCTGCTTCAGAAAGTGGTGGGATGACGGGACAAGTGTTTGAAGGGTGGGAGAGGATTTTGTGGGGGACTCATGGCGATGTGTATTTTACTGGAATAAGAGAGTGATGTCTGGGGTTATCTGTTTAATTTTCTCTCTCTTTTTTCTTTTCTTTCTTTTTTTTTTTTTTTTTTTTTTTTTTTTTTTTTTTTGGTGGCACTGGAGATGGAATCCAGCACCTTTGCACTGAGCTATATCCCCAAATTTTTTTTTTTTTTGAGACAGGGTCTCACTAAGTCACTAAGTTGCTTGGCTTGAACTTGCCATCCCTCTGCCTCAGCCTCCCAGAGTATTAGAATAACAGGTATGAGCCACCATGCCCGGCTCAGTTTTCTGTTCCTTGCCGTTTCCATTTCATACTGCTATAGTCATTTTGATGCTGAATAAAAATGAAACAATACCAAGAGTTGGAAAATAAATATTCAAGTACATTGACAGTGCAGATGGTGGACAGCAGCGATATGAGGGAGGCACAGGTAGTGTTAGGACCTAGAGAGACAGTGACCTCTGGTGGCCTGGGAAAGACTGTAAATGGGACATGTACTTGGCAGATTAGAGACCAAGGGTGGCATCACTGTCACTGTTTATTGGTGTTTACTGAATGCCAGGCAGGCCCAGTACTTGGACATGACTCATCTGAACTTCCCAACCCATGAGGTAGTAACTACTTATGTGCCCATATTACAAAAGAGGGGAACAATGGGTATAGTGCACACCTGTCATCCTAGCACTCAAGAGGCTGAGGCAGGAAGATACCTCAAGTTCAAGGCCAGCCTGGACTACAAAATGAGTTCAAGACCAGCTTGAACTGCATAGCGAGACCCTGCCTCAAAAAGAAAAAAAAACATTAAAAGAAGATTTAAAAAGAAATCAAATCCACTGTCGATTACAGTGTTCCCAAGATCCATCCACCTGCAAAAGCCCACCTCGGAGCACACAAGGCTTTGCGGGGACTTTGTAGGTATCTGGGGAAAGCATCTGTCTGGGTTTCTTTCCTCTCATTGCTCAGACAAATACCCAACACCCAAAGTTACTGAAGGAAAGGCTTATTTAGCTCACAGTTTGGGGAGGTTTCAGTCCATAATCAGCGGGCTCCAAGGCAGGGTGGCATGGCACAGGGGCAACAGTTCAAGGTGGCAGAAGACAGCTAAAGCAACAAGAGCAAAAGGGGGAAGAGCAAGCCTCTTTCCTCCCCTATATTTTTTGGAGGCTACCCGCCCTTGGTTGGGTAGCTGTCACTGTCACTGTTTATTGGTGTACTCACACCATCCCTGTGCCCTCTTGCACCCACTCGGGATGTTTACAAAGTGAGGACCCTGGCCCCCTGCTGAGTCATTTAGTTAAATTTCCAAACTTCTCAAAGTGACACAATGGACAACATCCTAGAGCAGTAAGGCCATATTCTCTGCACCCTGGGATGCAGAACTGCTGAGTTACTTAGTTAAGCTTCTAGACTTCTCGAGCTGACACAATGTATCAACTGTTACAGCATCTAAAGCAGAGGACACCAACTTTTTGGCACCAGGGACTGGTTTCATGGAGGACAATTTTTCCACAGATGGGTGGTAGTGCTTTTGGAATTATTTGAGTGTTTTACTTTTACTATCACTGATGGGCCTGTGATATGAGTCTGCAAGCTGTTGATTTATTATGGGCTCTCTCCAGTCAAACCTCTCTGTTCGTGTTCATCTGTATTTGCAGTCACTCCCCAGCACTAGCATCACTGCCTCAGCCCCAACTATGATCATCAGGCATTAGATTCTCACATGAGGGCTGCAATCTTGATCTCACACATGTGTGGTTCACAGAAAGGTTTGCCCTCCTGTGAGAATCCAGCAATATTAGGGATCCCTGATTATAGCTTTCAGCATGTCCTTCAGAAAGCCTGACTCAGAGGTATCACAAATACTCTTTTTGGTCTTGTTTTCTCCCTACTTCCAACAATGATGTGTACAGAATCTAAACTCTGTGTTGTACAAGTGGCTATGTGTAAGACAGGTGAGGTTGCTGCCTTCACTGGATGCATATTCCAGTAGTTAATTCACAACAAGCATTGTGGGTCTCTGACTGCTCTCATCACAGAGGGATCTGCAAACAGAAATATCCTGTGATTGGTTTAATACTTGGCTTTCTTTAC